CATAGTAGATCATATGGTTGTCTGATTCAAAATGGCCAAAACCAGTCCATTTCAGCTCACTAATGCCGAGGATATCAATCTTTATGCGTTCCATTTCCTAGACTGCAGGAAAAGTACCAGGAAAAAACGAATGTCCTTTTCCTTCCATGAACTTTTACCTTAAGCTGCCTCAGAGCTAAATACCTTTGGGACAGAAAAAGTGAGCATCCAGGTTGTTAACTGTGGGACAGCGGTTAATGCTTGGTGACAAAGCTTCTCCTTTCTCCCACTGGAGCCCACAGCCAACACAACGGACAAATACCCACCATCTAGACATGTGAAATTTAGGCGAGGCTGTGACAGCATCTAATCTGGTTAATTATTCTCAAACATCTGTGGGCACTTCTGGCAAACGCAGAACCAGACTTCCTCGCACGGCTAGAGCCCAAGAAGACACAACCCCAAGAGAAGGAAGAGTCCTCTCACTGGCCCCTTGGGCTTCTCTACCAAGACTCTGGCCCTAATGACAGTGCGTGCCAAGTCTAGTCTGTGATGAGCTAGGCTTCCAGTAGCCGGCCTGGAGCTCAGACTCCTAGATGCCTTGCCTATCAGACGAGCCACGAGAGATGACCAAAAACCAGAAGAGAAGAGAAGGTAAGTTGACATCATCAGAAAGGTTTGCCCAGCCTGACCCAGGCATGTACACAGGTATTAATCATCCCCTAGCTTGCTCCAAGAAGTCAGCATTCACTGCTACGGTCCTTCACTGAGAGGCTTTATTATTATGCTTTCACATTCACAAATCTAAGTCACCCCCAGCCCCGATCACCCTACCTCAACTGGGGCAATTTTGCCCCCCAGGGAACATCTGGCAACGTCTGAAGGCACTTTGATTGTAACACTGAGGCTGTTCTGACATCCAGTGGGTAGAAGCCAAGGAGACTCCTAAACACCCTGCAAAGCCCACAGCAGCTCCTCACAAAACAGAAAGACTTGGCCCAAAACGCCAACGTTAAGAAGCCCTGCTGTGCCCCAACCATCAGCTACTTGGCTGACCAACTGAGCTCAGTAAGTGCAACACTCAACTCTGTGATGAGCTTCATTGTAAGACTGTTAAGTTACGGACACCAACTGCAAACACGGCAAAGCTGGGTGTCCTATGACGACCGCCCCACTCAGCTGGAAGGAAACCAAGGACAGGCACTTAGATTTGGCAGGACAGGGCAGGTGCTGAGGAAACCTGGGGAGCTCCTCAGGGCAGCGTCACCTACCTCTCCTGGGGGCCTGCGGTGTCTTCTCTGTGTAGCACCAGCTGTGGGAGAGGAGGGGCGGTGGCATCTCGTCTCACCTCCTTGGGTTCACGTGCCTTCCCCTTTCCTGTTTCATCCATTGCCTCCAAGGCCTTCTCTTGTTCTGCAAAACCTGCCTGGCCATCTCGGGAGGCGCTTCCAGAGCTGTGGCAAGAATGAACGGAGTCTCTCTCCCGATGGTCATCATCTTGCTCCTGACACTGGTCTAGTTCACTCAGCTGAGAGCTTCCTTGACTCACATTACAGGAAGAGCCGTACCTACTGCTGGTGGGGCTGTGAAGGTGAGAGGAAGGGAGACAAGTAAATAAACGCAAACCAGGGATCAGGGCAAAAGCAGGGCGGGATCGAGGAAGCAGCGACTCCATCGGGGGCAAGGGTCAGGGCTCCCCAACAGGAGACGCCTGGAAGAGGACCGAGCGTCAGTCTAAGACAACTAGTCCACTCAGCGAAACGCACAGGAAAGAGTAAGCGTGCTGGGTCCTCCCACAGCACTGACCTCAGCCTTGCACTTGCTCTTGGGAGCACATTTTGTCTTAATGAGATTATCAAGCTGAATCAGGAATTATTAAAATAGCCTGTTGCTTATCCCTACAACACTTTACTCAGTCTTCTCAAGGAACGTGTCCAGTGGCTGTGATGAAAGTGTTCTAATCTCTACATAGTAAGAGGGAATGATAAACTCCACTCTGTTTTTCTGTCGCTAAGCTGAGGTACCCATTCACTCTGGAATGGAGACATGTCCTTACAGCTCCCTCTCAGCCACCTGCAGAATGAGGTAGTGGAAGGCCCAGGCAACAGAGGCCAGGACGCTGGGGTGGCAGACCCACTACGCGAACACCACCGTGGTATCTCGGCAGCATACAAGTGGCTCGAAGATGAATCTGCCCATCTGTAACTGTTGCTCTGAGGGCGCGGCTTCTCTGTTAACTGTTGTTCCGAGGGCGAGGCTCAGTTCTGGACACAGAGGACAGGATATGGGCCATGGCTACACTAGTGCATTTCTGTTCCTGAAGAGAGCCCGGCCCAAACCTTTTTCAACCACCTGAACTTGCCACGCCCAGAAAGGAAACCCTTTGCCTGCTATGACAGACAGAGCGGTAGTGGAGCCAGGGGCAGAGGACGGTGGGAGTCGCAGAGCACTGCAAGGGCACAGTACCCAGAAGTCCCTCGCTGTAGCCCCACCCTCCTCGCCCTCTCCGAAGGATTTGGTCCTGTGAAGTCCAAGGGACTCGGCAACGACCTGCAAGATATGCCCGGCTCACTTGGATGTTTCAGTCCCCAGTCAGGGGCCCTCGTGGTATCCCTGGTGTCTGCCTGAAAGCCTCCCAGCAAACGGACAAGGAATTTCCTTGCCACCTTCTCCAAATCAAGAGAAGCAATTGTTGTTTTCCAGTGAGATATTCCCCCTGGGTTACCTTAATTACCTGGTAGTTTCAGGCTGATATCTGATCCTGTGTCTTACGGCACCAGAACAGGTACCAGACCACTGCTCTGAGCAGTTCCCAACAGACTCACACCCGCTCACTCATATTCTCTCTCACACCCCCACGCACGGAGCTCTGAAGCCCCTGACCAGCCCCGTTGGACAGGTCTGGTTCATAGGTCAGGGCAGCATCCGTCCAGTGCGCTGGATGGTGCTTCTGAGAAGGAATGGCAGGACCCTCTGCAGATGGGCCCCGCACGGTGCTCCAGACCGAGGGACCGCAGCCAGGCAATCCCGAGCACCTGGGAGACTTGACTGAAAACATTAATCAACCCCAGTCTCCAGGGCAGTAAAGGCAGAGAGGGATGCGGTCTGCAAACCCATGTGGAATAGGATATGAAGTACAGATTATTCCAAACCACCTTCTGTACTTAATACCCACATTACCACTGGAGAAAGCACCTTAGAAAGCTTGGGAGAGCCGAGTAGATGGTCTCTGCCCATCTGCCACAGACACAAGGGCCTACGGCCCAGGAAGCATCTCTCGTGCAGCTGCAGTTGCACGGACCACACAAGAACTCACTACTCTCCGTGCCCCCTCCTCTGCCTCGCACATTATCTCGGCAGAACCAACCAGGGGGGAGCAGATCTTAGGGCCTAGCCTTTTCTCTAAGCAGGAAGCTCCTTGTTCCAATAAATGAATTAGCCTTGGCTCTAGAGAGAGGGAGAGGATGCAAAGGCCCACACATGACTTCTTATTAACCTCTAATTAACATGAAGCTCAGGTGCTAGGAAAGACACAGGCGGGATCAAGAGCAGGCTGTGATCAATCTACCACTACGTCACTGCATCATAAATGGTCGATTCCTCAGAACTATTTATGATGCTTCAGCTGAGAACAGGCCTTTTGTGGATCTCCGGCTCCCTGATGTCGTTGGGCGTGACCGGCTGGTGTCCGTCTGGGACAGCGCTGGCAGGCACGGCCTCCTCGTCTGGTTTTTCTGGCTGGTGAGGCAGCACAGAGAGAGGGCAATGCTCTCGCTCAGGCGTCCCTGGAGGACAGGCAGGGCCAGGGGGGTTGCTGCCTTCTGTCTCCAACTGTTCTGCTGATGCTGGGACTTCCTGCCGGTTTTCGTCTTCTCCAGGCTCTGAAAGCCCACTGGCACCCACACTTGGCCTGGTCTCCAGCTGCTCGGAGGCCCCAGAGGGCGGAGTGCTGGCCTTTGCTGGCTCAACACTGGCCCCAGGCATTTGAGGAGGCTCCAAGTCTTTGTCAGCCTCCCTGGAGTGCAGGCCCTGAGCACTGCTGATAACCAACGCTGGAGGGGCGGCTTCTGCAGGTGGCTGTTCAGGGCATGCTTTGTTCCCTTTTGCCCATGAAAACGAAAGATCCAGCTTCTTTCCAAACCCTAGTTTGACATCACTGGCCAGGACACTCCCTTTTCCCTCACCACCTCCCTCAAACAGAGTGGATAACTTCTTAAAACTGGACACTAGACCAGTCTCTGCTGCTCCATCACCAGAGCGGGGGGCTGAGGAGAAGAGGGAGCTCAGTGGTCTCCCACCCTCAGCAGCAGAGGAGGGGAGGCGGAGCTTCGGCCAACTGGTCCCGTCCGGGATCGCAAATCGAGGTCCTGGCTGCTCTCTTTCCTGGGGGACCGCAGGGGGCTCTTTCTGGGCATGAAGTACCTCAGAACTTTTCTCAGCATAAACCACAGGCTCCTCTGGCAAAGGGTGAGCAACGTGCCCTTGGGTCCCCACTGCGGTGCTCAGGCTGACGCCGGTCTCACCAGACGGTGCCATACGGGTCTCTGATGAACTGGCTGCATGCAGCTCTGAGGCATCCTGGTTTGTGGAGGCAGCGTGTGCAGATGGCTCTGGTTCAAGAGGAAAAGGAGACTGGACGGAGGGAGGCGGCTCCTCGGCAACGCAGGTGGGATCTGTGTGTGACCGCGCTGGCTCGGCGTCCAGCGAGGCCTCTGTGTCTGTGCCCTGCAACACCCCCACGTCTCCTTCGTCACTCAGAGACAACCCTCTCTGCACAGTGTCATCCCTGGAGACAGAAGATGTGGCACCAACTGTGTCAGAACCTTGGGGCTCTGGAGGGTTTTCAGGGATCGTTTCAGGAATATCACCGCTGTCCATTTTGGTTGTTAGTTTAGGACCATCCATCAAGGAGCCCGAGTCTGAGCCTGCACTAACCACGGTTATGCTACAGTCACTGACAGTGGGCTCCGGGCTGAGCACTTCCGAGGGGGCTGCTCGGCACAAACTCGCTGGAGGTACTGATTCTACAGCATCTCTGGAGCAACCACTGGGAAGCCCTGAGGCAGGTGCAACACGTGACTCTTGTTTACACGTTTCTGCTTTGGAACTTCTGAAAATTCCAAATAACTCACTTGTGAGGGGCTGAGATGATGTACCAGAAGAAAAAGGGAAAAACGATTTTTTCTTTTGTGGTTTAGAAGAGAAAAGTCCAGAGAAAGTTTTGGGGGGTTCAATTAAGCTTCCAGAGAAAGATTTCACTTTGTCCACAAAGCCTGAAAGCATCTCTGCTGAAGAACCCCACACAGGTCCATCTTCTTTATCTGCACCTGGACTCTGGGGGCGCCCTGCCCGCCTTGGCTCAGCAGAGGAAGAAGCTGACTCCAGGGTCTGTGGTGGGAGCTCATCAGGGGTCTTTTCTAAGGGTAAGTTCAATGGGTCAGCAGTAAATCTTTCATTTTGGTGGTGGTTAGTGCAAGTGTCTAAATTGTTGAGCTTTTCAATTAAATGGCTATCGTGAGACAAAGACTTGACAGGTGAGTCACTGGGGAAGGTTTCCTGGTGGAAAGCCTCTTCCTCGTGGGGAGATACTGCAAAGGTCCCAGGGCCATTGAGGGTTGCTTCAGCTTGTGCCTGAAATAATGGTGAATGAGGAACAATGTCTTTCTGCAACTGAGTCATCTGGGGATCAGCTAAAGATGTCCCCGGTCCATCACTAGAACTCCGTTTTCCCTCACAGTTCTCTACACTGAGTTCACGTGTGAAGGAGGTAACCTCAATGGTGTTGCTACTGGAAACACTAGGGGCTGTTTGCTCATCATGAACTACTTCCTGGACTATGGTATCTTTATTGCCATTGGAACCTTCTCTAGTCACTGTGCCACCAGTATCTACAAAAGCACTCGACTCCCTACATGGCTGGGAAGTCAGTGGGGGAACCATGGGAAGGCTTTGCTTTTCCCCAGAAGTCTGCGGCTTTTCATCCAAGAAGGACAAGCTGAAGAAACTGAAAGCAGAGGTATTATGGGAGGCATCCTTCTTGCTGTTTGAGCTGGTGCTGGGAAAAAGGGAAGGAAGTGTGAAGAACCCTTCTGCTTGAGACTTGGCTCTTGGGAAAGGAGCAGAGGTTCTGTTCTCAGATTTTTCAGATCCAGTCAGGAAAGAAAATACACCCTTTCTGGTTGGCAACTCTGGTTGGGATGGAGATGCTGTGGCAGTTGCAAAACTCCCACCTTTGTCAAGAACATTATTTTCTTGTTCTTTTGAGTTTCTCCTGCTCAGAATATCAAAAGACACGTTATTACTTCTTGGAACTTCTGTCACTGTAGACACCCCCATTGTTTCTGCTGAAGAATCTCTGGAAGACTCTTTGAGACAACTTGATGGAAAAAATGGATTTGGTGACTGATGGGTCAAGTGGTCTTGTTGTCCAGTCAAATTATTAGCCTGGATCTCCCTAGCTGACGGTTCCCTGGGCCCACTGTCATCAATAGTAGTCTGCTTGTTCAGACGTCGAACTCTAACCTTTTCTCTAGAGGCTATGGGTGCCGCAGGAGAGTCTCCTACATCCTGTCCCATCAGTGGT